CCGCGGCCCGGTCCTCGACCAGGCCTCTTTTTTGTTACACACCCCCAGGAAGCAGCCCGTAGCAGCTGTCTAACTCCCAGGTATCTATTTAATGCTAGATGAACAGGGATATCAGAGTGGAAGAAACTCTGCCCAATTTGTTTCCGCCTCCGCCGGGGATCGAACCTGGAACCTTAGGACTACGAATCCCGAGCGCTGTTCGTTCAGCTGTCAGGCCCCAGCCTAACTTAAGGTGATACATCCTAATCTAACAATATATTAGGTTTTAACAAACAGAAAACAAGCTTTATCGATTCGTCTTGTGTTGAGCTGACCTTGCCTCTAGCAGCCCTTGCTGTTGAATACAGATATATATATATATATATATATATATATATATATATATATATATATATATATATATATATATATATATATATATATGTCGTACCTAGTAGCCAGAACTCACTTTTTGGCCTACTATTCAAGGCCCGATTTGCCTAATAAGCCAAGTTTTCCTGAATTAATATATTTTTTTCAAATTTTTTCTTATGAAATGATAAAGCTACCCATTTCATTATGTATGAGGTAAAAAAAAATTTATTGGAGTTAAAATTAACGTAGATATATGACCGAACCTAACCTAACCTAACCTATCTCTATAGTTTAGGTTTGGTTAGGTAGCCGAAAAAGTTAGGTTAGGTTATGTTAGGTAGGTTAGGTAGTCGAAAAACAACTAATTCATGAAAACTTGGCTTATTAGGCAAATCGGGCCTTGCATAGTAGGCTGATAAGTGCGTTCTGGCTACTAGGTACGACATATATATATATATATATATATATATTATATATTATATATATATATATATTATATATATATATATATATATATATATATATATACATATATATATATATCTATATATATATATATATATATATATATATATATATATATTATATATATATATATATCGTATCTAGTAGCCAGAACGGACTTCTCAGCCTACTATGCAAGGCCCGATTTGCCTAATAAGCCAAGTTTTCATGAATTAATTTTTTTTCGATACCTAACCTAACTTTTTCGGCTACCTAACCTAACCTAACCTATAAAGATAGGTTAGGTAGGGTTTGGTTAGGTTCGGTCATATATCTACGTTAATTTTAACTCCAATAAAAAAAATTGACCTCATACACAATGAAATGGGTAGCTTTATCATTTCATAAGAAAAAATTTAGAGAAAATATATTAATTCAGGAAAACTTGGCTTATTAGGCAAATCGGGCCTTGCATAGTAGGCTGAGAACCTAGTAGCCAGAACGCACTTCTCGGCCTACTATGCAAGGTCCGATTTGCCTAATAGGCCGAGTGATTTTCTTTGTCAATAAATTGTTTCCTATTGGTTTATTTAAAATATTATTATTATATTATATAATATTATATTATATAATATAATATTATATAATATATAATATAATATATAATAAGGTTAGGTTGGGTTGGTTAGGTTCGGTCATATATCTACGTTAGTTTTAACTCCAATTTAACAAAAAAAATAGCTCATACATAATGAAATGAATAGCTTTATCATTTCATAAGAAAAAATGAGAAAAATATTGAAATTCTGGAAAACTTTGCTTATTAGGCAAACCGGGCCTTGCATAGTAGGCGCAACCCGTTCTCGCAAATTTAATAAGTCAATATTGACTTATTAAATATGTGCATAGGTGACATACTTAACATAATAGATACCCTTAAAAAGATTCATAGAAAACACCGACCTTACCTAACCTTGTTAGTATCTTAAGATAAGCATCTTATTGCTTCGTAATTACAATTATTACCTAACCTATAATAGGTATAGGTTAAGTAATAATTGTAATTACGAAGCAATAAGATGCTTATCTTAAGATACTAACAAGGTTAGGTAAGGTCGGTGTTTTCTATGAATCTTTTTAGGGGTATCTATTATGTTTAGTATATCACCTATGCACGTAGTTAATAAGTCAATATTGACTTTACGAATTTGCGAGAACGGGTTGCTTAATCTTCATCAATCAATGGGTCGATGGGTCCAGTAGTTCCTACTTGGCTTTTTCCTTGTTGTGGTGGGTGAGGGGGGAAGGGGCAGTGTGGTAGTACTTATTTACCTAACAGTGTTTATGGGGGAGTGGGCCTTGTTGGGTTATAATTTAACTATTCTAACGTTTAAATTCTTTGTCGAATCTGGACTTAAATTTGTGGATGGAGGTGGCTTCCACAACTTCTTACAGTGCATTCCACTTGTAAACATCCTGTGCTAGGTATGAGTATTTCCTTACATTCCTTTGGCACAATTGCGTTCGCAGCTTCCACCTGTGTCGTCTTGTCCCGCTTTCTCTCAAAAGTTCATGAGGCTATCCTTATCCATCTTATCTATTCCTTTAGTATCTTGTTTGTTGTGGTTATATCGCTCCTCTATTCCTTCCATTCTCTAAGGTTGTGAGATTTACTTCTTTGGCCTGTTCTTGTTCTCTTTAGTTCCACTCTATTGTAATTCCTGGTTCTCTGTACTTTTGCATTGTTTTGCATAGCTTGCATGCATTGTCTATTGCATCAGGGGTTTACCTTACTTTTCTCATCCATCTCCTTCTTGACTGGTATGAAGAGCCACATTGTATCTGCACATTTCTCAATAATGAATTCCATTATCTCATTTGCTACCTTCCCTTCCACATCTCCTTCCCATTGGATTTCACACACAAAGGGCCCCTCATCTTTTTGTAGTCCCTGCGTCTGTAATCTTCTATCTTCTTCTTCAACGGGTTTGTGTAACCAACTCGTTTAGCTCCACTATGTATTCAAGCATGACAGTTCAATGGTCGCTAGCTTCTAGAGGCATCGTGTACTCTAATTTGTAAACATTTGCAGACGAGGAGTCACAATAACGGGGCTGAAATATGTTGACCAAACCACACACTAGAAAGTGAAGGGACTACGATGTTTCGGTCCGCCCTGGATCATTCTCAAGTCGATTGTAAACATCTGTTTTATTTGTGGAAAACAGGAGATCTAGATGTTACTGGTGAATCCTCTTACAATTGTTGGTTCTGTAATATTAGGCTTTAAGGTTTGTCTGCCAGTTATGCTCCCTATAACTGGCATCACACATGTGGGAGTCCTTATTTATCTAGTCTGTTTTCCTGTGGTTAAAGTTCCCTATTATTAGGATTTTAGCTCTGGTTCCACTTTCCTGTGGTTAAAGTTCCCTATTATTAGGATTTTAGCTCTGGTTCCACTTTCCCTGTCGTTAAAGTGTCCTGTTATTAGGATTTTAGCGCTGGTTCCACTTTCTCTGTGGTTAAAGTTCCCTATTATTAGGATTTTAGTTCTGGTTCTACTGGCCACTTTGATCGCTTTTTCTATTACCTTTACTCAGTTCTTATTGCACTTGTCATATTCTAAACTAGGCCGTCTATTGTTTGGTGATTAACTGTAAATCAGTCAATCAGGGAGACGGATGGTGGTTGAGGGGAAAGAGATGATTGGATGGTGGTTGTAGGGAAGGGGCAATTTTGCGATAGTTGAGGGGGAATGGGACAGTTAGTGGTTGACACTGGTTAACCTCTGTGACAATGGTTAACACCTTTGAAAGTGGTTAACCCCATGACAGTGATTAACATATGACCGTTATTAACTCCTTGACAATAATATACCCCACGAATATTCAACAGTGTATAACAACTATAGGATGAAAAGTATAGCAATATACCCCACGAATATACATTATTTATTAACTTGAAAGCGCCTGGTTATTGTCATTCTGCAGTCGCTAGCTGTTTCCTAAACAACTATGTAATGTTTAGAGTTTGTCTGCATTGATGTTATAAAGCAACGCATTTCACAAAACTCAGTCAAATTATAATAATTTTAATAATAAGTATGATATAATAAAACAATAATAATAATAAAATAAGAGAAATAATAAAATGTGTGGTTCCAGTAACAAAACAAAATTAATAGCCAGTCAGTTTTTTGCCGTTTTATTTTTTGCCTTTACTTTGACAATTACAGCTTGTGAATTCAGTCATTAGTGCAGCATTTCATCTTTTTCTGAGACTGTAAAGTATCTATGAGGCTCTCCAATTTTTTCTGAGGCTCTGTGAGGCTTGCTTGGGTTAGGCTTCTGGAAGCTGAAAGATTCTCTTTGATGTTCTCTGAAGCTCTCTGAGGATTTATGAACGTCTGCTAGGATCTTTAAGACTTTTTATAGTTCTCTGAGTCTTTATGAAGGGCTCTCTCTTATTGCCCTACGATGCTCTCTGATGGTTCGTGATGATTTCTAATTTCCTTTAAAGTTCTCTGGATTTCTGATAGCCTCATCAGAAACTTTGAGTCTCTGAAGGTTTGTTAGGTTCTATGAGGTTATGAGACATTGTGAGGCTCTCAAAATGCTGGCTATTAGAAGTGTGAGAAGCAAGTAAGGTCATTAACCTCCATGTGTGTGAATGTCATCTTGACATTTTGTCTATATTGTCTCAAAATCTAGTTAAGCAAAATATATGTAATTGAGAAACTTACTACAATGCCGTAGTGCTTAAGTGAAGGTGAAGGAAAGACCCACTATATATGTGAAAGTGTATTAAAGAACAAAATTTTGCGTTGCATCCAAAAATTTGTATTTTAATACACATACATATATATATATTGGGTCTTCATCTCAGTGTATGTAATTTTATAAGCTAATTAATTATTCGGATCCAAATGTGGATTTTATATTTTTTGTAACTTGGCTACAATTATTTGCATATTTAGCGTAATTTTTATATTTCAAAATCTGAATGTAGAAAAAACTTAATTATTTTATTGAAGAGTTTATTGTTGGCGACCAAAATTGGACTCAGATTACTGGAACCATACACAGGCAGGAGTTTTATTTTATTTATATAAACGTTAGATCATAAATAAATCCAATTTGCCTCTCACACCCTACCCCCCGACAGTCCAGACTGCAGATTATATCCCCTATGTTGTCTTGCAGTCGTGGGGCCGCAAAAAGAGCAAAAGAAAACCGGGAAATGTGTACTCCATGGACTGCGTCACGTCTCTGAGCATGTCCAAGGTAAACAAACGCACATGGCGCCCGTGAAGGTAAACAAACGCACGTGGCACCCATGAAGGCGCCTTAAAATAGATTATTGTTTTATCACTTTGTTTTCCCTTAAAACTGAGGATTGCAGGACGTAGATAAGGATGTCCAAGTGAGTCTTGGGGTAGTTTCGTCGTCATATATGTCTGCTGTGTTGCGTGTTAAGTTTCTGAGCTTGTCAAGATGACCAAACATATGGAAAAACTTGTAATGAATAAAAAAAAATAACACGAGACGACTCAGACTTTGGAACGCAGATGGCTGGCAATATGGCGACGATGTTGTACTGAGCCTCTATATAGCCATGCCAAGAGGCTTCCCAGTCCCATCCCTAACCCTTATCCTAACCCCTTCCAAGTGCTAGATAGTCGTAATGGCTTGGCACTTTCCCTTGATAATTCCCTGCCTCCCTAGATACGCGATAACCAAAACAGACTTGAGGAGAAACAAAATGATAACGCATTAATCTGTACCGCGTGCTGTCCCTCCGTAGTTGACACTGGCATTCGTAGTTGTTCGTAGTGGGTGCCTGTATGTGTAGGTCTGCTCAACGTGTCTCACAGTGTTTAATTTATTTTACTTTATTTACTCGCTCATTTATTAACCTGTTTATTTTTGTCCCAGTAAAGGGCTGCAAAAGCTGCGCATTGGTCTGTGTGCTGAGGCGCGGCAGACAAAGCCAGCGACTGGAGGTGCTCAAGTGGGGAACCTTCCATGAAATAAGTAAATAATTCAATAATTAAATAACTACTCACAGATTTACCACTTCTTAGAATATTCCTCTTGGCTCGTCTTGAACTACTTTTGAATTTTGTTTTGCATATATACATATTATTTATTTATTTATTTAATTTATTTGTTATAAATTTATATTTAAACGGGATTTTTTTTTGTTTTTGTGAATGTGAATGATTTTTTAAGGAAATGACATATTCCACAACTTTTATCTCAGTCCTCCCTGTCCTTGGAAACTTTATCTTTTCTGACTAGTGTTTTTAAATATTTTTTATTCTTGTCATTTACAAGAATGAAAACAAGTAATGCCAATATTTTTGCTGTTCCCGTTTTTTATGGAACAAGAGTTACCTATTATCTTTTATAAGAGACTTGTAACATTTGTTATTTCCTCAATGGCAGATTTTTGTTCTTGAGAGTTAAAGGGACAACAATTTGCAATCTATATTTTATATTTTTTCTTAGACCAATTCGGAGTTTTCTTGGTTTTCTTTGTCTATATTTCTCTTCTGTATTTCCCCCCTCACTCTTCTCTCTCTCTCTCTCTCTCTCTCTCTCTCTCTCTCTCTCTCTCTCTCTCTCTCTCTCTCTCTCTCTCTCTCTCTCTCTCTCTCTCTCTCTCTCTCTCTCTCTCTCTCTCTCTCTCTCCCTCTCTCTCTCTCTCTCTCTCTCTCTCTCTCTCTCTCTCTCTCTCTCTCTCTCTCTCTCTCTCTCTCTCGCTTTCGCTCTCTCTCTCTCTCTCTATCTCTTGCTCTCGCTCTCTCTCTTTCTCTCGCTCTCTCTCTTTCTCTCTCTTTTTCTCTCTCTCTCTCTCTCTCTCTCTCTCTCTCTCTCTCTCTCTCTCTCTCTCTTTCTCCCTCTCTCTCGCTCTCTCTCTCTCTTGCTCTCGCTCTCTCTCTTTCTCTCGCTCACTCTCTCTCTCTCTGTCTCTCTCTCTCTCTCTCTCTCTCTCTCTCTCTCTCTCTCTCTCTCTCTCTCTCTCTCTCTCTCTCTCTCTCTCTCTCTCTCTCTCCCTCCCTCTCTCTCTCTCTCTCTCTCTCTCTCTCTCTCTCTCGCTCTCTCGCTTTCGCTCTCTCTCTCTCTCTCTCTCTCTCTCTCTCTCTCTCTCTCTCGCTTCGCTTTCTCTCTCTCTCTCTCTCTCTCTCTCTCTCTCTCTCTCTCTCTCTCTCTCTCTCTCTCTCTCTCTCTCCCTCTCTCTCCCTCTCTCTCTCTCTCTCTCTCTCTCTCTCTCTCTCTCTCTCTCTCTCTCTCTCTCTCTCTCTCTCTCTCTCTCTCTCTCTCTCTCTTGCTCTCGCTCTCTCTCTTGCTCTCGCTCTCTCTCTTGCTCTCGCTCTCTCTCTTGCTCTCGCTCTCTCTCTTTCTCTCGCTTTTGCTCTCTCTCGCTCTCTCTCTCTTTCTCTCGCTTTCACTCTCTCTCTCTCTCTCTCTCTTTCTCTCGCTTTCTCTCTCTCTCCCTAGTGGTGGCGGTGTTCCCTGCACGAGTACTTGTGCGGTGTTCTTCACACACAACTTGTTCCTCTCTCGTAATACTCGTTGTTCTTTTATTAGACATAGCTCCTGGTAAATATTTTGACTGTAATATAGCAACGTTCTGAAAGGAGGAACAAATCTGCCTTTCTTATTTTTTTAGATATAAGAAATGGTAGAATATTTGGCTTGTTTTGGCTACATTTAGGCCCGTGTCAACAGGCCTATTGGCTACTGTTTTTGACTAGACGTAAAACATGGTAGGCGGTTCAGCTCTTTATTTTTGTATCTTAGATTTGATAAAATGGTAGACGAGTTTTGTTTGTCCCAGTTAATAATGGGACAAACTACTTCTGTAGTACTGAGTAGTTTGGTTGTAGTTGTTGGTGTAGTGTACATAGTAGAGTCGCCCCCCCCCTGGCCCCAGACTGGTACCATACACGTTGTGACAAGTTACAATAAATTGAGAGAAGAATGTATTAGTGGGATAAATCCTGGGTCACATTAACAGCATTGGAGACACGGTCTACCAAACTACCTTTGTATCTAACGATAAAGGTCTGGACAAAGTGTGGCTCTGACCATATAGACGGACTCCTACGGTCTGGCAGCCACACCTCGACCAGACTCTAGAGTGTGTGTTATGGTACCAGGCTGAGTACTATAGTGGATGTGGTAGGGAAGGCAGTGAGGGATGACGCTATTTATCTATGTCTCTCTACCTGGTTCACCATCGAGTCTAAGTAACATTGTCTAATTAATTTGTGTATATATTTATATGTGTGTGTATTTAAGTGTATAAACTAAGTGATATAAATCTTGTTATGTTTATGTGTTTTGAATGTTAATCTATTATGCAGATTTTGATAATTGTTTTCAACTTCCTACAAATGTTGCGCGCGCACACACACACACACACACACACACACACACACACACACACACACACACACACACACACACACACACACACACACACACACACACACACACACACAAATGACAGAATTAAATAGAATAAATATTATTATCTCTCTTTGCAAATAGTCTAAGCAATGTTGACCTCTCACATCATGTCTCGAACATGTTATTTTGATGAGAAAATATTTGGAACAGAACGTAAGTGTAACCGACGTCGTGATTAACCTTAGACGTGCGTCTTAACCCCTGGACCTTGATATGCTGAAGATTAACCACGGGGTTAAGGAGCCCATCTGGGGTTTCCCTAGGATGTTGGTTCGATTCCCCGTCCTCCAAAGATTTTTCTCATAAATATTGTTAGTGTGATTTCATTGTATATGTGAATTTTTATCAAGTCAAGGAAAGGAGTACAAGCCAGGTGTGGGGGCCTCGCGTCGCTGGGGCAGATGTGGGGGCCTCGTGTCGCTGGGTCAGGTGTGGGGGCCTGGCGTCGCTGGGTCAGAGGTGGGGACCTCGCGTCGCTGGGTCAGGTGTGGGGCCTCGCGTCGCTGGGTCAGGTGTGAGGGCCTGGCGTCGCTGGGGCAGGTGTAGGGCCTCGTGTCGCTGGGTCAGGTGTGGGGGCCTGGCATCGCTGGGTCAGGTGTGGGGGCCTCGCGTCGCTGGGTCAGGTGTAGGGCCTGGCGTCGCTGGGTCAGGTGTGGGGGCCTGACGTCGCTGGTCAGGTGTAGGGCCTCGCGTCGCTGTTGTTTGTTTACGTAAGTGGCGCATGCGTTCTTGACAATCCGGATTCTGCCAGTGTTCTTATACTCGTCCACTCTAATGTATCTCATTATATTCCCATCAAATAGTTGTAATATCCTATGCATGGGGGATCTCGTGTGGTGACGTCTGCTGATGTCCTGGACAGATCTTGACGTCGCAGAGGCCTCTAGGTAAGATAGATGTCTCATAGTGCCACAAGACACTATTGAATATTATGAAGGTACTTTAAGCATCGACCTGACTCAATGTGTCTGGGTACAAGTAACAGGATGAACAACCCAGCGGGTTTTCTTCCTATTGGGGAGTGTTGTACATGCTGCTATGACTATGTCCACTCACAGGATGAGTGGCGCTGCCCAATAAACTCGCCCCTCGAGGCAAAATTAAAATTAAAATTCAATGTTTTCATTGTCAGGGAAACATTGTTGGTCAGCTGTTGCTGTGGGGTCAGGGGGTTTCGGGGCCACACCTGTTACACACCTGTCAGCACCCACTGGGGTGGAGGGCACACCTGTCAACACCCGCTGGGAACGAAGGGCACACCTGTCTCATGTACTCCTCTGATGAACTTGATAAAGATGCAAATACAGTGAAACGCGACTAAAGGCTCAGTTTGTGAAGTGTGTCTTAGCTTGCCCAGATCTTGACAGTTTGACAGTCATGTCTGTCTGTCTCTCTCTCTCTCTCTCTCTCTCTCTCTCTCTCTCTCTCTCTCTCTCTCTCTCTCTCTCTCTCTCTCTCTCTCTCTCTCTCTCACTTCTTCACCCCTCTCTTTTCAGGCTCATCCGAATCACAAAGGCAAGACTGGGAGTGGGAGAAGCAGCAAAGGTCACTGCAAAGGTCATGGCAGACAAATGCAGGTAAGCAAACGTCCCCTCCAAGCGAGGAACCACCTTTACGTCTTGGAGGGAGGTTCACTTTCTTGTCATGGAGGTAGAACTGGGAAGTAGGGGTAGAGGGGGTAGATATATCTACCTCCTTGGAGGGTGTGGAAAGGCATTTGAGGTGAACTGGTGGCCTCAGATTACGATACAGTCACAAGAGCAGCAGTCTAATGATATATATATATATATATATATATATATATATATATATATATATATATATATATATATATATATATATATATATATATATATATATATATATTTAATAGACAATACATGTAAATTATCCAAAGCGTCATATCGGAGTACCTTGCGGTTACCTTTCGATAAATTCGGGGCTCAACGTCCCCGCGGCCCGGTCCTTGACAGTTCAGACGAGCATACCCTAAGGGATAGGGGGAGGGGGGAGGGATCTCGTGGCGACATACTGTTGCCCGCGCAGGCGGGTACTGCCCGACTCTGCCCTCATTGGGGCATGATATGGTACCCAGGTGGAATGTTGTTATCCTCTGGCGAGGCGTGATGTAAAGAAAGTGACCATAGAGGAGACAGTGACCATATAGAGAGAGAGATAATGAACATACAAAGTGAGATAGTGACCATACAATGAGAGCCAATGACTACAATAAGAGATAGTGTCGACAAAAGGAAAGATAATGACTCCAGGGAGAGATAAAGAGTACAAGGAGAGATAGTGACCATACAGGAGGAGATTATGACCATACAAGAACAGATAATGATCATACAGAAAGATAATGACCATACAAGGGGAGAAATAATAACCATACAAGGGGGAGGCTAAGAATAGTGCCCGAAAATGCCCCCACATTCTCTTCTTTGTAAATAAAAAAAACAGGGACCTGGGCGCCTTCCCTTGAAATATACTTTGAACCCCTGACTTGTGATCCTGTCCTTTGAACCTCCCTGCTTGTTTAAACACAAGCATCGTGAGGTACAAGACGGGAAGAGGGACAGCAAAATGAATGTCTGATAATGGGATAGAATGAAATAATAGACGAGGCTATTAGTGATACGAGGCTAGGATGATATGAGGCTTCAAAAGCATCATAGAGGGACACAAGACGGAGGGAAGAAGGAATGACTCGTTGACTGGTCCTGCAAAAGGAGATGATAGAAAAGAGAGAGAGAGAGAATAAGAATGAGGAAGGAGAGGACGATAAGCCTGGCCACCATCCTCATGTTATCTACCCCGCCCCCACACCACACTAGGCTGCCTCGGAGATAAGCTCGTCTCTCTCCAAGTCACATGTCCTACAGTTGGGAAAAATTATACGTTTGGTGTTTTCAGTTCATCACAGTCATGCTTCGGCACCTCTTGAAGTTATCTTGAGATTATCTTGAGATGATTTCGGGGCTTAGCGTCCCCGTGACCCGGTCCTCGACCAGGCCTCCTTTTTGTTACATACCCCCAGGAAGCAGCCCGTAGCAGCTGTCTAACTCCCAGGTACCTATTTACTGCTAGGTAAACAGGGGCATCAGGGTGAAAGAAACATTTTGCCCATTTGTCTCCGCCTTCACCGGGGATCAAACCCGGAACCTCAGGACTACGAATCCGAAGCGCTGTTCACCCAGCTGTTAGGCGCCAGAAAGGCGCCACCTTCCCTACAGTCACCTCTTAACACCATTACACAGTCACCTCACACATGTCTTGACGTGACCAACATTACATAGATACAGTCTTATTTATTCCTTGCTTGTCACAGCAATCACTTATATCGGTGTTGATTTAATAAATCAAATAAATACGACCTTCCAGAGTGAGCCGCCATGTTATCTTGGCAGCTCTCTTGATAACCAACATGCAGGGCCGGTTATCATCGGCAGCTTCTAAATATTTATAATACATTTTTAGCTACCTAATAATTGCTTATACTGTATTCGATTAAGAATTAATGAAATTACAGAAGGCGTGTTGGCCCATACGAGCACTGATGTTTATATCTACCTTAAACTCCTGTGTGTGTATATATATATATATATATATATGTGTGTGTGTGTGTATATCACGAAAATAAACACGTGATTAAGAATGTGACAATGTCAGATCACGGAGGAAAATGAAACAGGAATTTCCTTAAGTACTTTCGTATATTAAATACATCTTCAGAAGGAAACTTGTCCAACCCGCGCTTGAAACAATCGAGGGACCCCACCTCCACCACGTTACGCAACAAATCAACAACCCTGTTACCGAACCAGTATTTACCCAAATCTAAACTTATCCAATTTATACCAATTGTTTCGTGTTCTGTCTTGTGTTGATACTTTAATACCCTATTAATATCTCCTTTGTTATGTCCATTCATCCAATTTCCTTCTGAAGATGTATTTAATATACGAAAGTACTTAAGGAAATTCCTGTTTCATTTTCCTCCGTGGTCTGACATTGTCATATATATATATATATATATATATATATATATATATATATATATATATATATATATATATATATATATATATATATAATGTCTAACCTACGCTTGAAACAGGTGAATGAACTGAACCACTGACCCTAGGTCTTATTATGTCTTAATTAAATATTTATATGAACTTTGTATAAAAATTATTTTAGTACTTTATAATAATAATAATTTATATAGCTCTTGTTTATTTTTTTGTTTTATTTTATACACTGAAAAGATTACTCAAAGAAATCACATTAAGTTGATGTATTTTATCATGTGTTTATTGAAGGAACAGTTGGCACCCCTGTGTTAGACGGGTGTGTGTTAACTCACTTCAAGAATAATGACCTCACATCACCAAGAATAGCAGTCTCTCTCTCTCTCTCTCTCTCTCTCTCTCTCTCTCTCTCTCTCTCTCTCTCTCTCTCTCTCTCTCTCTCTCTCTCTCTCTCTCTCTCTCTCTCTCTCTCTCTCTATATATATATATATATATATATATATATATATATATATATATATATATATATATATATATATATATATATATATATATATATATATATTATATATATATATATATATATATAATATATAATAATAAAAAATAATATATAATATAATATATAATATTATATAATATGTAATATATATTTTCTTTCTCTCTCTCTCTTTCTCCACGCAATGTATTATTATTATAGATAGGTAATATAATGTTGGTATTCATAATCTGGTTATACATTGGTTATTAACTTAAGTTAAAATATACAATCTCATTGTACTTTTACACATTAAAGATAATAATAATAATTATAATAATAAAATGAAAATAGAACAATTATTAGTAGATAATATAGTGTACAAAGTTCCACCACTCATTAAGACCTAAATACAATAGTGCTTAAGAAACTGATAAACAATCAATAGCTATAGATTCAATTTATTCCAACAATAGATTATGAAACAGGATACATAGAAGTATATACTTCTTCATTTTAAAAGGAAATAAACATAAACACTAATTCATACATTAATCATTATTTCAACATATTCGTCGTAGCATATATTTATCACATCCAATTATTATATATTACAAAGATTCTATCATACAGTAAATCATTATGCCACATCACCTTAGACAAGAGATAAAAGTATAGATTTATCTCTTGTGTATGCAAATTACACATGAGACAACCATTCCTATAGATAAATACAATTCTTTTGACCATGTCGTAGCTCAGTCGATTAAGGCAGCGTCTGAGATCCTCTCGGACATAGGTTCGAATCCTCGTCACGGCCCTTGTGGATTTGTTCATTTGATGCATCACGCTATTGTGATTTCTGTGTGTAATTCTTATAGATAGTTTTCTTTCTGAAATCAGCCTTCCATCTCTGCAGCTTCACTCGATGAATGATGCATCGTGGTCTTTAGCCAAATTGATGATTGGTCAAGAAATCAGAAGAAAAAACTTAAATGATATTATTTACAATAATACTATTTGTTGAAAATACTGAATAAGGGTCATTAAGTGACTGGTATATGAATGTACGGTCCTGACTTGATGAATTAATCCTCTACTTCAGAATAATGACCTTCTCAACTGGATATTAGGCCGAATATCTCACCTTACTTATATATTTAAAGTTCACGAGAAACTAAGTGTGAGAGGCTGAAAGGTAAGTTTTAATGCGAATAATGAACTGGGATTTACGCCATTGATCGGGGATCCTAGTCGAATATAATGATATTTAAACTTACAATGTAAGACACAGGTGTTTGTCTTCACCAAAGCACAAGATGAACGATGGTATATATAAGATGTTGATACAATAACGTGTTTTACGGGCTATTCATGCCCGTGCCACCTCTTGGGTGGCTTAATCTTTATCAATCAATCAATAACGTGCTCTCTTCGGCCAAGTGAACTTGTCGTGACCTCCTTCTTTCGCTTTGCTTCTTAATATACCAAAATATTACCCTTTTGCAAATAGCAGCTGCTTATTGATATCTTTTAATACATTGTATATGTGTGTGTGCTTATAATGTACTCTACTTTGCCATATGATGACACAACACATCTAAAGTGATCTGCCGTACTTTTACAGCTGTAAGAATGCTTATTGGGCCGAGAGAAAGGTAACTATATTCATTTGTTTATCTTTTTGACTGCCTGATGTCCTACAGGTGCACACCATAGAGGGCGCGGTGGCTGCCAGCACTAGTCGAGAGTGAGTCTTGTTCGACCCCCACTACCACTACCACTACTACCACTACTACCACTACTACTACTACTACTACCACTTCTCGCAGCATCTGGCACTCCACACGCTACACTTGCACTTATTATTCACAGTATTGACATCTCTCAGAAGAACAGTCATGAAGAATCAACAGAGTTAGTTTTAAGTCGTGAGCAAGATATACGGTACTGTACCTAAGCTTGCTTGCTAAAACAGTACGGTACAGATCAATACATTTAATAGTACGGTACGATCGCAGTATGGTAAATGATTTCACGATGTCTGTCACTAGGCTCCTCATAGTTTCTGAAGACAGGACAACTTCACCCTAATTTCTATTTATTAATTATACGGTAAATTAAATAATTTGGTTTAGCTATTATGCTAGGAGATCCTAACACAGTTCTAACTGCACATATGTAACTAGGACACGTCATTACTAGCTAACCAAAAGTACCGTACCGTACCTCCAGCTACAGGGAATGAAGCCTCTGGCGGTATCGTGGAATCCTTCCTGTTTTTCTAGTATCAAATATGAGTAAACAGTACCGTATTTCTCGCCATCCTGCTAGTTATATGTACCTCTGGTTTAGAGCTTACAGCAAGATACATGTGTTGTTCGGCTTGTTTATGTGTGAGAGTGAATGAGAAAAGTCTTGGTGTTGTCACACTGTTCGTCCGCTCCACTTGCACTCTTGCATTTTTTCAACAGCACCGTATAGCTACATCTCTAAAGCTTTCACTCAACAACACATCCGTAATACATATTAATTCCTAACAACACGCTACAACTCATTATCTAAGTCAGACTAGACAAAATCTCTAGCCACTCTCATAACAAATTCTCTAAGAGCCTCCCAAAGCCTATACTAATTTTATAAAGCACACCAACAGCTATAATTATCAACAGCAACCCAAAACATGCAAATAATTAGTTTAACTTGCTAAAACTAATTTTTATATACATCCCTCCAAGCCAAATTGTTTTTAACCCATTCTCACAATAGGAATACACCGCACAACTAACTTTCTAGAGTATTTCACAACTAATTTCTAAAGAACTCCTCACAATTCATTTTTAATAGCACCGCTACGTGTACAGTTGTGTAGTAGAGCGCCTCCATGCCTATCTATATTGAGCACTTCTATCTCCCCAGAAAATTTACCATAACACCTTATAGCTAAATTTATTCAATATCCCCCCACACCCCTTGCTAATATGCACTCATAACTTATTGCCTAGATTAGCAGCAAACAATTACGTTTCACCGCATTCTATGAAGCTAATTATCTCCACCCCCCCCCCCACCTAAACTAGTTACTAGAGCACGACACAGCTAATTTCGAACAACCTATGGATAATTGTCTAGAACCTCCCTAGCACTCAATCACGTGCTAAGCTGAAATCACGTGTGCTAAGCTTCAATCACGTGCTAAGCTTCCAATGAATGGCTATGAATTAAACCGTCCCCTCAATTGCAATATTTGTCATTTTTATAATAGAACAGGTTTTTTCCCCCTGTAAGTTTCTACCCCCCACCCCCGGCCCCCCTTCCACAATCCCAACTAATTTAGGAAAGTTGACAGCACAGCCCTTCAACCCTTCCACTATGTCTTGGTCCAGTGGTGTGTATACACAGTCTCATTATCATATGTTAATTGCAAGCACTTGCATCTCTTGAAGGTGCTTCTATGGGCTATTGTGATGCTGATAATGTCCGCCGTTCTGTCTTTTCATCGGAATAATAATCTGTACTCTTGTTGTCTGTCCATTTTATCACTGTCTATTAATATTATGTGTCTTGTGTTAAACGTCAGTAGCCTAATGTAGACGGGTTTGATCACACCCATCAACCTGTCCTCTCGAACAATACATCGCATTTTGCCGTCAAAATCCCCAAATAGGCAAAATATGATGTAACTAAATCATAGCGGCTCACATTTACATCGGTCGCTCGGTTAGGTTAGGTTAGGTTAGGTTCGGGTGTTTTAGTATACTATTTTGTGTTCGTTGTGACAAGTCGAGAGGATGGGATACATAGTTGACATGTCTACACCATGTATAATCATGCATGACTGTATTGAAACCTCTCTTCTATCCATCTAAAGCAAACTAATTCACTTGCGTTGAGATTTTATTGATTTTATTATTTCACGAGACTTGACAGATCATTACAAATCTTCAAACTTTCCTAGTTGCCAATGGTGATGATTCCCTGTTCAAATTCAAAATTCAGATTAAAATTCAAAGCTTTACTTATAAATATTTGTACATTTACAACTGTTAATGTACATAAAATTACATTACATTATTAAAATATACATATAGCTTTTTCCTCAGATTTTAATCTATTTTTTTAAATTTATCTATTTTGCATTTTTGATTTATATGATTTAAAAAAAATCACACCAGGCATCTTCACCAGATTTGAAGCATAGGTCCTCTCCATCTAACCTCCACCCGCCTGAAGGAGACATCGCCAGACCATTACGACTATATAGCATTTGGAAGGGGTCAGGATAAGGATTTGGGATAGAACGGGGGACAAGGAATGGTACCTAACCACTTGTGGACGGTCGGGGATTGAACGCCGATCTGCATGAAACGAGACCGTCGCTCTACCGTCCAGCCCAAGTGGTTGGGCCCCATACACTGGAGTTTTCAAATTATATTCTTGAATAGTGAAGAATCCCCTCCACCCTCAACTTATCTTTCTGAACTTTTACAATATAAACCCCTTTTCCGGTATTGTTGGTTTTGAATACTTTAATCTCTCATCCATCTCGTATTACTCCTCTGGAAACTTAAGCATGTGTCTTATAACATTACAAGATAGTTTTACAGTTCAAAATGCAGATTTTCAGCTGCCAAATGTGTTCTTTAATTTGGTTTAGTGATGGACCTCAGGCGTATCAACCTCTGGAGAGTTATTATGGCCACCACAAGTCCTTACTGACCAACCAGCAAGTATACTTTAGGTCTGGACATAGTCCAGACCTAAATATACTCTCAATATATATACACCAAGAAGCGTGGTACATCTCACGGTGTATATATCCATGATATTTTATTATAATTTGTTCGGTTTATTTTGTATGTTACTGCTGCAACTGAATTATATTTGGGCGGAATGTTCTTGTTGTATACTGAGTGTTTCTTTGAGAATTTCCTCATACTTTTTTAATATACTTCCAGGAATCAGCTTCTTAAACCTCGACGACGCTTTCTTCATTCATATATTTTCAGAACTTTTGGACTGTCCGCAGGTCTATCTGTTCTTCAACTACCAGTTATACTCTGACGATGGCTAGGCTTCAACAGAAGGCCATACTTTCTCTGCTTTTATCTTTAGTATTTAAATCTTTCTTAACCCCTTCCAGTTTACAACTCATTTCTCCTTCAGCGTGTTGCTCATTCTTCCTTCTTGGCCTTCATAGCCATCATCTAGCACTTGATCTTGCCTATCAACTATTTCCTATTCACTGTTTAGCAATAAATCTCGCCTGACCTCTACCTCTCCGCTGCTCTAACTTGCATCAGCTTATGCCATTTGATATCCATTATAAATCTAAGAATCTTATGCTGTGTGTGCTGCTCCTCTTCCAGGTACAGACAGTAGAGGGCGCAGCGGTAACTGGCGGCGAGCAGCAGCAGGAACAAGGAGATCGATCACAACCCAACGTAGAGCTGCGAGCCGTCAACGAAAAGGACATCAGCTTGGAGGGCTTTGTCAAGAGTCCTTCAGAGAGCGACGCGCTAATTCAGTCGTGTTCCACACGACGACAATAAAATACAGTGGTGGTGTGGCCTCCTGTGGAAGCCTAAAATGTATATTGTACACAGCTAACATTGTCTTGATTACACTTGATGCTGTTTGAAGTGCACAGTGGAACTCCCTGAATTCGAAAATTGTGAAGGATGTTACTGTGTGCCGGAAAAGTAAACTTATTAACAGGGTGAAACTTTATATGCTGGCAACTTTAAGCTTTTTGTATGCGATTTGCTGTATAAGCCAAATTAAACCCAAGCCTAGTGTGGCATACGAAAGAGCAAGTGTAATCAGCCAGGCCATGAAGTGTTTTTGATACTTGTTTTAAGCATTTTGTATTTAGTATAAAGAGAAGTGTCATAACAGTATATTGTATATTGGTGAAGACCAAGCGTTGCAGGTACGGGAGAGAGCGCCTATGACAGAACTTGACGAGACGGCATACCAACAGCTACTAAAATGCGTCATGCCCCTCAGGCTAAAACTGGGGCAAGAGTTCCGTAAATCTCTAAACAAACGGGGGCAATTTATATAATCAATTTAAATTAATTATGAAAATCAGAACAATTTGTAAATGTGATTTGTCCTCTTGTAGGTCACAAGCAGGTCAGGTCATGGTGCGCGGACACATTTTGGTAGATGATTGAAATTTTATATATTCACAGACTGCTCGTTTTGCTTTCCGTCATGTAATGAACTCGGCCATTAGATAATCTTGATGTACAATGACTTAAAATTATATGTATATATATTTATTTATTGGAAAATCTTGTAAAGAGGATTTACACATATACGTGAGCCATTCTGCAACATTGCAGTAATATAGAAGAAGTGATATTCGGATATTCAGCATTTAAAACAACAATGCTCCGTAAGCGACTCATGTGCTCTGCCTGTTTGGTCACCTGTAAGCATTGTCAAAGTGTTGGAGCATGCTTCTACCTCTGCATTTCTTCCCTTTATATTTGAGATGGTTATCAGCGTGACCTTTCCCATCCTCGCCCCAGGCACGCTGTCAGGTCGGGACTCGCCCCTCTCACCACCACTCACATCAATCTGTTGTTCATAATGAATCAACAGAACATAAACCAAAGCTTGGGTACAGGGGAGAGGGGGTATTATCTTCTCTCAGAACTGAGTATAAAACTCCTTGGTGCGCTCGTCACTGTGAAACCGCTCCGCCTCGTATGTGTGTGTGTGTGTGTGTGAAGGTTGATCCCAAAAGTGGGAAGTAGTCAGAAAATATATATATATACACATATACACTCCCAGTGATATTCTGATCGCTTATGTGATGTGAATTTTCAATCACGACGCCTTTTCCTCATTAAATGGTCAATTCAGTAGTATGGTGGCAGTGAGTCAGTTAATAGATGGTGGAAGTGAGTTCAGTACGTAGGGTGGCAGTGAGTCAGTTAAGTATGTAGAGTGGCAGTAAGTTATTTCAGTATGTAGGGTGGCAGTAAGTCAGCTCAGTATGTAGGGTGACAGTGAATCAGTTCAGTAGTAGGCTAGCAGTCAGTCAGTTCAGTACGTAGGTAGCATTATTGTCTTTAATTTAGATCAGTATATGAAAAACACGTGGTGGCGTGACGTACAAGATGGTTGTGTACTGCAGTGCGGTATTTGAACGTCTTTGTAAGCATCTTGAAGGATGTTGTTGGAGGAGATGAGTGTGCGAGGCTGGCCCTGTGACCATCTCTGGCGCCACTATACCTGACCATATCAACAATGTTTTGGCAAGATGAACATTGCTGATGTTATTGCACAATACCATACCATTTTTACTATTCAAGAATCTGCCATGCAGGTTCTGTTTAAGATATTTATCTGATTTTTAAACAGTATTTTTATATGCACTTTGCATAGACACAAATGAACAAATATTAATTATAATGGTAACCAAACTTTACTAGAAGCAGGTGTGTAGCACACAGTTTGGTGACGTTATTGTAGATTTGAAAGATTAGGCCTGGTTAGTGTGTTCTTGAACAGTCAATTCAGAATACAACGTAAATATTCGCCCGCTGCGTTTCCATAACTATGCAGTAATTGTGGAGACACATTGTTCTTTTGTTTTAATTTATAACCCAGACCTAACATTTCAGAATTATGTTATTGGACGATTCAAGTGGGGGCATCTAGCGGAAAACATTTTGACACAGGATATTTTGTTTAGGTTTCTTTACAAACATTTTGACACAAAATATTTTGTTTAGGTTTCTACACATACATTTTGACACAAGATATTTTGTTTAGGTTTCTTTACATACATTTTGACACAAGATATTTTGTTTAGGTTTCTTTACATACATTTTGACACAAGATATTTTGTTTAGGTTTCTTTACATACATTTTGACACAAGATATTTTGTTTAGGTTTCTACACATACATTTTGACACAAGATATTTTGTTTAGGTTTCTACACATACATTTTGACACAAGATATTTTGTTTAGGTTTCTATGCAAACATTTTGACACAAGATATTTTGAATAGGTTTCTGTTCTACAAACATTTTGACTTGAACATTTCTTCAAAGCAAACCACATTGAGCTTAGAGAACTTAGTTAAAACATCTAAGAATAGTTTGTACATCATGCCTGGAACGTGACGCCAACGCTCTTAAGAGCTGCTCGTGGATTATCCTCACTCATCTCAGAGTGCAACATCTTTAGTGTTTGTATACCTGAGATAAGACAAGGAAGCATTTAATAGTGAAGCGGAAGTGAACTTGTAAATGTCACATTTACTCAAATTTGATTGCAGTGTTGTTGCAACTGCCCAGAATTAATGCTCCCGTTGACGAGAGATTGCTATACTGTACATTAATGGAGAAAGTAACTGCCGAAACAGGGTATGCTAGGAATGGTGATGCATGATTATAGTGTACTTATACAAAGCTGAGATACACCTTTGGGACGTTGAGATATAAAGGATTCTTGTAGATATAGGCAAGGAAGACCAGACGATTTCAACAGGGGGTGAAACCTTAATGCGGCTGGAAGGCCCTTAACTAAACCTTAACACAGTCACCATTTTGATAATTGCTTTCTTAATATAATTCTAAGCACGACAGTAGCTGTGAGGGTTTTCAGGTAGGGAAGAAGTGGGGGTCCCTCTCCAATGACAATATCTCACCTGTCTCTTCCTCAACTCTGAACGTCATGATGTTTGTTGTCATGCGAAACATCACTAATTACCCGATATCAGGATGTGTCGCATTGTTCAAGTAATTAGTTATTGTCAATCACATTTTGTATTAAACGCGTTTTTTTTTAAACAGGTCAGGAGTTTGGATCTAGTGATGTTGGTTTTCGGTAACTAAACTGCTTGTGATTTCACACTTTTCATACGTTTAACACTTCTAATATAGTGTTGAATCCTATCTTAGACCGTCTTGGTTATTCAAGAGTTCAATCATTTGGATCCTGTTACTCATTACGCGTTAAGGATTTACTAATTATTATTAATGCGTATTCGTAATGACTTAATCGATTCCTAAAAGCTTTCAATTGCAAATTCAGTGTGCCAATTGTGATTACAAAAATTAAGTAATTTTAGAAGCTTTATGTAAATCTGAAGTGAATGTGTGTGTGTGTGTGTGTGTGTGTGTGTGTGTGTGTGTGTGTGTGTGTGTGTGTGTGTGTGTGTGTGTGTGTGTGTGTGTGTGTGTGTGTGTGTGAGATTCACAGGATAGCTTGGTTTACGGCAATTTTCATATTGCCGTCTGTGACCTTAACTAACAGTTGGCTCAAAATGTATTTCGATCCTTGAATAATGTAATTTGATTTTTTTATAAAAGAAATGTGTACATTTATTATTTGTTGCATAAATACAAATATGAATAGCCTCAATTAAATCGTTCCTAGATGAAAGTTTAAAAGTCCGTGTCTCTCTCTCAATATTAACACGAGCATCAGGACCCCCAGAATGCATTGCAATATATATTAATTTAGACAAGGACGATATTCCAAGTGTGCTTGTGTACTGTTGTTTAAACGCCCAAATGCCCCGTGTTCTGTTCTTGTATAGCTTTAAATTCATTTTCACATTTGTACATTTTGTGGTGTATTTCGAAAGTGCACACAAACACACAAAGAGATGAGAAAACAGTGGATTGAATCCTATTACAATGTGGAAATAAGAAAGGCGAGAACGGAGGGACAAACAAGACAAGCGAGAGTGATCAAATATGGCGACGGCTAGAGAGACGCCCACCGTCTCTCCCACTAAACACCATAATACCGCTGAAGAATCAAAACACACCACCGTCACATGGCACACATTTGGATAAGGATAGTCTCCTGCCCCCTCTGAGGAGGATAAAAAAGGCGGTGTCTTGGACAGGAAGCATTAAAAGCGAGGAGTCACAGACTCGAGACCAGAGGTAAACACAGGTCATTTCACCCCTTCGCTCAGCCAAGTTAAGACAAATCCTCTTGCTTTGAAAGCCTTCGTCATTTCCTTTCACGACAATACACCCACTGACTGGAGTCTTTGATTAAAGCAGGCCACAAAGTATTTAGGAATTCCCAAGATATTTAAGATCAAAGTGCACGACATAAGACCCAATCAGGAGACGAACGTAATCAGCACAGTGAGTAACTAGTTTTTTGCCATTACTGATCCCCACGGATACAAAATAAGATGCTACGAACTATATTACCTTACCTTGAGATGATTTCGGGGCTTAGCGTCCCCGCGGCCCGGTCCCCAACCAGGCCTCCTTTTTATTAGGTGACATTTTAACAAAATGTAATAACTTTTTTCATGGATATTTCTGCGCGGGCCCTAAACCTCTGGCTGGCCTACTAAGTGTTGCTTGTTTCTGTTTTACTTGGGCGGAGTATGAGTATTTATGACTCGTATGGTCGCTTCAGTAAGATTTTGTCCCATGTGTTTAACAACTTTTGCTCTGTTGAATCTAAGTTGAAATCTTAATGGGTTTGTAACTGTGCACTGTGTTAGATAATGTTCCAGTGGTCTGTCGGGCATTTTTCCACAGTGCTGACATTTAACAGTATAACTAATACTAGACAAACTCCTAAATAAATATTTAGCTTGAAGTATTTTTTGACGACACTTATTGCTTGTAGATATAGTAGACCCGAAAATAGTTTGTTAAATTTGGCAAATATGCTTAATTCTCTAAAAATATCAAAATAATTTCAAATATTTTCTTAGTAAATAAGAATATATCTAAATAAAATTATTTAAAAAACGTCTAACTATTAATTCTTTTAATATAATTTTCAGTTGGTCGATTTCTTGCAAATTAGCTACTGCTAACGTTCTTTATGTATTGTTGCAGACGACTGTTATAAATAATAACGTAGCTGAAAATATAATGACCAAAGCACATATCAGAAAATGGTGAAATGACTATTTCAGTCCGTCCTGGACCCATTATCATGCCGTGTGATGTCATTGTACAGTACAGTAGATTAAAAGCTCTTATGAAGGGATAACAGTGCCAGCTTTTGTGTCACTGAAGCTGTTTAGTATATTTTAGTTTGTGCAGGAGACAATGGAAAGATATTGTCTCCATGGAGCCTAATATCAGTTCTTCACCCAACATCAGTGTTATAATGGCTCTTATCAAAGTCAAATTTCTTCCGTATCTTTAATCAAACAAAACACGGATTTGGGCTAATTAAACTTTTTGAACCTTGTTTCCGATGTCAAACAAAACAGGTTTTCATCTTGCAAATTTGAAAGCAAATATTTACCCAAATGTTCTAATGTAAATCATTCCACGCCAACATTCCTAAACCGGGTAAGATAATGTACGATAAAATGTGATCATTATATAACCTAAAGCACTGGTGAGTCATTTGAACATATCAAAGACCTTATCTTACCGCACGTCAGCAGTTGACACTTACATTAATATGGACAGCAAGAACATATGTAAATTATGTTTGTCAGTTTATATACACTAGAATGTTTTACTCTTGTCTTCAGTTTTGTTTAGGTTTAAGTGTGCTTGATGGGTGTTTAGTAATGTCTTTATGAAGGCTTAAATCCTCCCTTTGGTAGACACCTTTGGCACAATTTAGTGCATACTGTTTAGACTGTTAGGGTCTAAAATACTGTATAGTTGCTGATTTGCCATTAAGCTCTGGTTTCGGCTTTAATAATCCGCGAGCAGTTAATAGGCTTTAACCATGGCATCAAATCGGGCAGAAAGGCATTCACAATATATATATATATATATATATATATATATATATATATATATATATATATATATATATATATATATATATATATAACTGAAAACTCACACCCCAGAAGTGACTCGAACCCATACTCCCAGAAGCAACGCAACTGGTATGTACAAGACGCCTTAATCCACTTGACCATCACGACCGGACATAAGGTTCGAGTCACTTCTGGGGTGTGAGTTTTCAGTTGCATATTGTCCTGGGGACCATTCAGGCTTGTTCGCATATATATATATATATATATATATATATATATATATATATATATATATATATATATATATATATATATATATATATATATGTCGTACCTAATAGCCAGAACGCGCTTTTCAGCCTACTATTCAAGGCCCGATTTGCCTAATAAGCCAAGTTTTCATGAATTAATGTTTTTCGTCTACCTAACCTACCTAACCTAACCTAACCTAGCTTTTTTGGCTACCTAACCTAACCTAACCTATAAATATAGGTTAGGTTAGGTTAGGTAGGGTTGGTTAGGTTCGGTCATATATCTACGTTAATTTTAACTCAAATAAAAAAAAATTGACCTCATACATAGAGAAAAGGGTTGCTTTATCATTTCATAAGAAAAAAATATAGAAATATATTAATTCAGGAAAACTTGGCTTATTAAGCAAATCGGGCCTTGAATAGTAGGCTGAGAAGTGAGTTCTGGCTACTAGGTACGACATATATATATATATATATATATATATATATATATATATATATATATATATATATATATATATATATATATATATATATATATATATGTCGTACCTAGTAGCCAGAACTCACTTCTCAGCCTACTATGCAAGGCCCGATTTGCCTAATAAGCCAAGTTTTCATGAATTAATTGTTTTTCGACAACTAACCTACCTAACCTAACTTTTTCGTCTACCTAACCTAACCTAACCTATAAAGATAGGTTAGGTTAGGTTGGGTTGGTAAGGTTCGGTCATATATCTACGTTAATTTATGACTGACAACCCTAAAAAAAAAACCTTGACCTCATACATAATGAAATGGGTAGCTTTATCATTTCATAAGAAAAAAAAGGTAGAGAAAAACATATAATTCAGGAAAACTTGGCTTATTAGGCAAATCGGGCCTTGCATAGTAGGCTGAGAAGTGCGTTCTGGCTACTAGGTACGACATATATATATATATATATATATATATATATATATATATATATATATATATATATATATATATATATATATATATATACAGCAAGAGATGCATTCCACTTCATGCACCCTGAGTTTATTTCAGGCGTGAACTTTATGATTGGTCAGAAAGCTTTATGGTGGTATTCATAAGCCTCCCGCAATCGATACGCAATTGATAAGTCTTGAACCAATCCTGTATGTCGATTGTCGACAATCGACTTGAGAATGGTCTAGGATGGACCGAAACGTCGTCGTCCCTTCATTTTCTAGCGTGTGGATTGGTCAACAATCCTCTGTAATCAACAAGGCAATATATATTCCTAGGAAACCTCACACCTAGCCCAACACACACGAAGAAAGAAACTTGAATGTAATGCTATATACATTTACGACTTTGTATACCATGGGCCACAATATAGAATCATCTGAAATATACAAAGATTTGTCTTAGAGGGATAATGCACTAAAATGTGTTTCGCTTCGCCGAGCATTAAACACTTGAGAGTTTACTTCAGTTCCAGACCATGTCAAGGACTAAAGTATACTTGTTGGTTAGTTAGTAAGATCTTGTGAGGCCTTAATAACCCTCCAGAGGGGCCCCTAAGCTTAATATAACCAATCGTTCTCCAGCAGGGTTGCTTGTGCTGTTTACCAGTAAAACGCTTCCGTGGTGTCAACATTCAGTCTTTCTAAGGACTCATGGTGTCAACATTCAGTCTTTCTAAGGAGTCATGGTGTCAACATTCAGTCTTTATAAGGAGATATTACCCTGCACTGGGTCAAGCTCCCAGCACTCAGCCTTTCCTCCTCATTTGTATTTAAAGATCAAACACAAGACATTTATAAACCTGTGCGTGAACATAATTTAAGTTTCATAATAAGAGGTACCAAGACCATTCAAGTACCTTAGGCAGAAGAGCAAGACTTAACTCAGTCAATTATTATTCCAGATTTTATCGGTCGTTAGAGTTAATGTGAATGAAAACTAATAGTTAAGTGCGATTTAGTTGCGGAACCTATAGCAGTTCAGATATATTTGCGAGATATACTGTAATGCACTGATGTTATTTTACAGCACAGAGGTTCTCAAATTGGGGTATGTATAATGACCAAACTACACATCAGAAGATGAAGAAACGATGATGTTTCGATGAACACACTTGATAATGGTCCAGGACGGACCGAAAGGTCGTCCTTTATATATCCCTGGTGCTGTCTCCAGTGCTCTCAAGTTCAAGTTCAAGTATGTTTATTGAGACAAGAAAAAATACATCTCAAAGGGATAGAGTAGCTTAGGCTATTTCTACACTCCCTCCAGTGCTCTGTAGACAATTGACCAGTCTTGGAATATATACACAGTAGAGCAAATCTGGAACATATAAACACTAGAGGAAACCAAGTATGCATACTCTAGCATGAGAACCCCTGCTAGCTTAGCTATAACCAATGGAAATCAGTGTTAAAAAAAATAGAAACCTGTTTATGTGTAAATTACTTAGATTTGAACAGCGCGATGTGTATCAGAAAATTCTATGTTGTCAGCAAACTTAATCATTAGATTTGTTGCTGATGTATGAACAAATTGCCACAGAAGTAAGACGTATAGATTGAATATTGAATCGACGGACAGTAAGGCTTATTGATTGAATATTATATCGACGGAATAGTCACGAGTTGAGAAATTCAACGCAATGCAAATTCAAGGCAACGGTTTCCGTTGAAGGTTGCAGCTTGCAGTTGCTCGGTCTTCTTAAAACTATAACGCCAAGTGGTGCTAGTAGTGTAAAGTTTGACACAGTAGGTCTGAGCCTCCTGCCCATCCACCATATAGGCCTCAAGTGAAACTCGCTCCACCCTCGTTACTACTTGCGTTTCATATTCCGAATTTATTTGAGAGATGCCTTACATAGGGCCCGCTGTGTTCACACCTAAATGTGGAAATTTGTGCAAGGGATGTTAGTGTGTGAGGATGAACATGCGATGTCAATTTATGGAGGATGTACTGGTGATGTCAGCATGCAGGGATATACAAGTGGTGTCAGCGTGTGGGGAAATGCAAGAGATGTCAGCATGCAAGCATACACAAGGGATGTCAGGATGCAGGGATATACAAAGAATGTCAGCGTGTGTGGGGGGGGATACACAAGGGATGTCAGCATGCAGGGATATACAAATGGTGTCAGCGTGTGGAGAAATGCAAGAGATGTCAGCATGCAAGGATATACAAGGATGTCAACAAGCAGGGATATACAAATGATGTCAGCGTGCGTGATGTCAGGTCCAAGAGTTGTCGTCAACATACAGGGATGAGAGAAAATTATATTTTTGTTTACACGACATTTGCCATCGATGCCACTGGTCTTCGCAAAGCAACGGTTTTCAGATAAATTATATCTACAAATCACCCTAACTACTAAAAGTCTTAAGCCAGTTATAATACAAGTCTTAGTTTAATATACCACAAGTCTCATACTGCTGA